ACTTCACCAAGATCAGTTTATCTTTTGAAATGTAAGAACTCTGGTGAAAGATGTTTAGTGATGGAAATTGCCAGTGAACTCTGCATTTATATGGCTACCAAAGATGGGTCATGGAGGCTCTTGGCACTACCCTCCAGCCACTTTTTAAAAATATATATTTTTTTATTTATTTCAGAAAGGAAGGGAGAGGGAGAGGGAGAGATAGAAACATCAATGATTAGAGAGAATCATTGATCAGCTGCCTCCTGCACTGCCCCCCACTGGGGATCGAGCCTGCAACCTGGACATGTGCCCTTGACCGGAATCAAACCCGGGGCTCTTTGGTCTGCAGGCCGATGCTCTACCCATTGAGCCAACCCAGCCAGGGCTGCTTTGTGTGTGTGTGTGTGTGTGTGTGTGTGTTTTGCTTTGTTTTTTGTTTTTATTTATTTGGGTAACATGGCCATCCAACTTATTGGTAATCAATGTAATAAATATTAAAAACATTCATTGGGTGACGGTGGTTAATATGATCAGATAGGTTTCAGGTGTGGGATTCTATGTTACAAGATCTGTGTATTGCACTGTGTGCATTTCCCATACTCTCCTGCCTTGAGGCCTTTGTGCCATTTGTCATTTAGAAAGTCATTTGTTCCAACATCCACCTGCCCATATCCTTCAAGTCCCCACTCTAAACCCACTTTCCAAATCAAGTTTTTTTTCTCATCATCTGAGTTGAGTCAATCTCTTCTCGGTGTATTAATTAGCTGTTGCTGCAAATCACTCCCAAATTGAAAGGCTTAAAACAGAGAATTTTTTTTTGTCTACAAAAAAAATTGTTTGTCTACAATTCTCTGGGCTGACAATTTGAGAAGGGCTCAGCTGGGACGGTGTGTCTCCGTGCGTTGGGCGAGTTTATTCATATACTGGCAGTCTGGCTGGGGGCCAGCTGGCTGAGGAGGGCTTTACTCACCTGGGCAAGGCCTTGATTGTGTTGCCTGGAATGACTGGGTAATTTGAGCCTTCTCTCTCCCCACGCAGAGGGCGGATGTCACAATGCTGTTGTAGAACATCACTGTTGCCACATTTTATTGGCCAAAGCAAGCCACAAGGCTAGCCCAGATATAAAAGGCAGGGTGTGTGTGTGTGTGTGTGTGTGTGTGTGTGTGTGTGTGAAAGTATGACTCCTCTTTATTTTTCAAAAATGGGCTTAATGTTTTAATATTTCATTTTAAGTAATCTTCCTATTTTTTAAATAATCTACCTCAAAGTGTAACTTAAGATTAGTAAATTTGAAATTCTGAACATCTTTGTTTTCTCTGTAAACCATAATGTTTTTAACTCTTTATTTTGAATTAGTTTTATTCTTAGAGAAGAAAAGTTGCAAAAATAGTACCAATAGGCGCCAAATATTCCTCACACAGCTTCCCCAATGTCAACATCTTACACAGCCCTAGTGCAGTTCTCAGAAAAAAGAAATGAAGGTTGCTTCAGTACATTTAACTAAACTACACATTGCATTTGGATTTCAACACTGGTGTCCCTTCCCTGTTCTAGAACCTATCCGGGCTCCCACTTGCATTTATTTTTTACTTCTCCTTAGTCTCCTGCAGCCTTTCAAAGACAACAGTTTCTCAGTCCTATCTTATCTTTAATGACTGACATTTTAGAAGAGTACTGATCAATAATTTTGTCAAGTAACCCTCATGTGAGTTTGTTGATGTCTAGTGTTTTCTCATGGTTGCACATATTTTGGACAAAAGTACCACAGATGCGATTTTTTTTCCCCTCAGCACATTATATTACAAGTTTCATGATGTGAATATGTGTTACTTCCTGGTATCATTGACCTCGATCACTTGGTTAAGATGTTCTCTGTCTGGTTTCTCATTGTAAAGGGACCACTTACCTTCCCCTTTGAGATTAATCAATATTTAGGAGATACTTGGAAACTATTAAAAGTATATTTCTCCTCAAACTTTCATCCACTAAATCTAGCATTGATCAGTGGATTTTTGCATTAACAATTATGATTATAGTGTTTGTCTAATAGTAACTTTCTATCTTCCTCTTTCCTTCTACATTTATTCATTGAAATATATCATAAGGAAGAGCTTTCTTTTCTCCTTGTTTACCAATGTGGACTCAATATTTATTTTATCCTATGGATTAAAATATAATACAGGCATTATTTGTTGTGCTGCTCAAATATGTAAACCATAATATTTTAAATTGGGAAAATGCTCCCCTGTGAGCACAGAGGCACCTAATAAGCTCAGAGAAAATTCTGCTAAATAGAAGATATTCAAATTATGATTACAAATCTCTCCAGATTAAAATGTGTAAATATTTGGGTGCAAATGTTTTGACAGATACTATCTTTGCCTCCATTGTATGTGTGTGGGTTTTTTTGTTTGTTTGTTTTTGAAAAATTAAGTTCATCAAATAAGCTATTTTTGTTTATGGTTTTTGAATATTTTTCCAAACATAGATATTATAAAACCTGGTACAGGATATAAGTTTATACTATTAAATAGGAGCTGAACAATAGCCTAAAAACAGGATGTTCTAGGCAAATCAGGCCACATGTCTCCTTCTGGGAATCGAACCCTGACCTCCTGGTTCATAGGTCAATGCTCAACCACTAGGCCACCATGGCCGTGCTCCTTAAACCTGGAATTGTCTTTGACTCTGGCATGTACAGTCAACCACTGAATCTTCTTTATGCTTTCTTAATTCTTACTGTATCCACCTAGGCCTAGATGCTGTTACCACAAGCCTGTATTACTTATAATTACCTATCAATTGGTCTAGGAATCAAGTCCTCATTCTATCCATTCTCTTCACAGCTACCATAGTTTTATTTATCCAGAAACTTTGTGTCTCATCACACCCTTGCTGAAAAAATCTTACGGTTTCCTTATAACCTGCAGAGAAAATTCCACAACTTAGATTCTGAGTATAATCCGTTCCTAGTCTATACTTACAGATTCATTTGTCATTCCTCCCTTGCACAAATTCCTCACTCCAGCTTGACTTGATCACTCCCTATGTCCTAAACACACTTGGCATTTGGCATTTGCTGTCCAAGCTTTTGTTTATGCTTCTATTCAGTCTTCCCAAGCTATACCTCACTTGTTGAAATTTGACCTATATCTTTAAGCCCAAGTAATATCTTCAAGAGTCCTGCTCTGATTCCCCATCCAGGAATAGTCTCTTTATCCTCTGAAGGTCGGCAGTTGTATAGAAACTACTCTGGTGGTGTATTATACTACAACCTTCAATTCAAGGCGCTGCTTGATTGCAAACTTTTGCAGATGGAGATGAACTCTTTCATCTTTTGATATTGAGAATGCCATGCAGCAGGAGTCTGTGAACATGCTGCTGCTTAATAACTATTCATTGAGTGAATTAATAAATGAATGGCTAATAAATCCAAACAAAAGAGATAATGAATGACGTCTTCACTCTAGAAAACATTTTTACAATGTATTGGAAATTATATTAACTAACCCAGGCTGCCATAGCAAAATAACAAAGACTGGGTGACCTACACAATAGACATTTATTTCCCATGGTTCTGGAGGCTGTGGAGTCCAAGCTCAAGGTGCCAGCAGATTCGATTTCTGGTGAGGACCTCCAGAGTCCTCACATGGTAGAGGGACAGAGGGAGGGAACTCTGGTCTTTCTTCTTCTCATTATGAGGACACTAATCCCAGCATGAGGGAGAGCCCCTTGGGACTTCATCTAACCCTAAATTACTTCTCAAAGGCCCCACCTTTAAACATCATCTCATTGGGGTTAGAGCTTCAACAAATAAATTTTGGGGGAACACAAATGTTCAGTACATAACGAGGACATTTAATCACAAGAAATGATTGAATTTAAGCCTGTCTGTGGGAGAATCTTTTTGAGTGAATGGGCATTATGATCTGTAAAGTCCTATAAATAGCCAGGTTGATTCACCTTTCATATAAGATCAGCCTTGTTTATTAATCTTTGGGTCGTTCATAAATGCTAAACAAGATCAGTATCATGCCATTTTTATAACCCTGATTTCCACTAACAAATAAAGACATAATGGGTAAAGACATAAGGTGTGTATTAGTGTCTCTGTAACTGTCTCAAACAAAAAGATCCACATCAAACATATAATAACGGCTTTTTATGGGGAAGACAGTGGTATTGCAGAGGTATATCACCCTGTGTGCTCCTGAACTGTTTTGGTATTTTTGGTAATGAGCATATTTTACATATTATGTTGAAACAGAAAAATGATTTTTAAATCTTTTAAGAATTCTTGGTTTACATGGCACTCTGTATATGAGATCCTGATGTGGCAACTGCCTTCAAAGAGCTCATACACAGTATTCCTTTGGAAGCCCCAAGAAATGAAGAAAATAAAAACGTGGCTCAACCTATGTCCAATGATAGCTCTATTGTTTTCAAAAATCTTACCAGAGTAAGAAAATAATCTTACTGTGAGAGTAAAAACATATTTGGAAAGCAAATATATAGTTAAAAAAAAAAAAAAAAAAAAAAAAAGAAAGGAAAGGCATGGAAAAAGTTGAACTTGTGTGTTTCACAAATCATATAAACTCTTCACACAAATAGAATTTACAATCCCCAAATCAATGGATTCATAGGCATAAATCTGAAAACCATTGTGACTAAAATCAGTAAAGCTATTAAAGTATTTAAATATTTAATTCTTTTAAGGATCAAGTACATGTTAACCATAAAACAAAATGAGAACATCTGGAAGGCAAAGAGGTTGAAAGATGGAAAATAAAAAAGCAAATGGTGTGTTTAGTGCTACTGAGAGACTTTAGCAAATGGCTATCAACCCATTTCAAAATAAATACAGAGTTTGTGTGATTACAATGAGCCTGAAGAGGGGTTTAGCATTTATATACCTCCTGGGAATTTGGGTGAGTCAGAAACATAAAACCAAAGCAAAGGGAGGGTATTGAAATATTATTTCCTGCTGTATTGTAGAACGGAGAAGAGAATAAACATACCGATGACTTGCATGGCCGGTTCCACGTCTGCTGTGGCCTCTTCCAACAATGACAGCAGCTTGGCTGATATCTGATGCACGGATTCAATATTGCTAAACAAGCTATCCACGTCCAGCCGATCAATCTGAAGAAAAACCAACACTGAGTAGCAGCTAATAGAAAGAGACCCGCTGTATTTAGGATGTTATCTCTCACAGTAAGCATTTTATATGCCAGCCCACCATTTCTGTAAACACCCTTCTTTAGGATTTCTAGAGGAAATGTGCAGTTTTTCATGCAAGAAATTGTGATGGTGCATTTGTCACCTCTGTCTTTTTCTTTATTTTAACTAAATTTTTGTGAGTGGTGTGTACATCTACATATGCTTATAAGAATCGGAGTGTGGAGAAGACATGGGCCAGCTAACTGGCACATTTATAAACTGTCCTCCAGGAGGGTGTGTACCTGGGCATATGAATTTCGAACACTGTACTGTTCACACAGCAGAAGTCAGGCCTTCCTCTAGGCAAGAAACTATTTTCAAAGCTGTTTTAAAACATACATGTTCTCAAACTGATGACAAGTAGTTGTGCTGAGCTGTTCCTGTTTTGTTTGTTTTTTTGGTGTTTTTTTTTAAAGAAATGTGAATAGAAATTGTTAACAAACATGTTCTGCTAATTAAAGATTCATCATATCATTTCTTCATGAAATAGTGTTATCATTCCCAGATCTTATGGCTGGTATTTATAATAATTTACCTATTCATTCATCCATCCTTTTATTAAATACTAGAGGCCCAGCGCACAATATCACGCGAGGCCCAGACCCACCGTGCCAGTGGTACCCAGACTGACTCCCACCAGGGCTGGGCAGGACACAGGACCCAGACTGACTCCTGCTGTGCAGGGCGGGAGGTGGGAAACAGACTGACTCCCACTGCACTGGATGGGACGTGGGACCCAGAGTCAAGTGTCCGCCCACACACGCATGCCTCGCTGCGCACGAAGCTTCCTAGTCACCAATCTTTGGTCGTTCCACCGTGAGGTGTCACAATCAAGGGGTTTTTATAATAGAGATTTCCTGAGGACCTTGTATGTACCAAGAATTGTAACAGAAGCCACACTCTGTCAGAGGCATTGGATGATTAGTGGAAGGATGGACAGCTATCCTAACCAATCTAAGTGGAGTGTGTCTTGATTTTGCTGTATCTTGCTCAAAACCTTTCTCTTGAGTTAAAGTTAGATCTTGCATCATCAGACAGTATCTACTTGGGTCAGGAACAGATCGGTACAGGCGCCACTGGGCAACCACAGGGAACAGGAGTAGGCGCCTCCTATCCCTCGTTTGTTGTGCATGAGGTTGTACGTGAAAAACCAAACCACCTATAGTCACGTCATGGAGGTACTAATAGAGCTGATAGTCCAAAACCCAGGTCAGCAAAATTCAATGTTAGAGTTAGAAAGTTGAGCTAAAGATCAGAAAGAAAGAAGCAGAGGAAGTAAGGGAAATTGGCAACACTGAATATAGAATAGGAGACAGACTTGGAGGAATTTCTGAGGATGAGGTCCAACAACTGCAGCTTCTTTCTCATGCTCTCAGCATCAGTGTCACTGGGTGTGCCACATCCATTTAGTGGGGAGGAAGGAGGCAGGCACCCATCTTTTTCTCTAATCCTTTTTGACATTGACCCATCTATTGTTCCCCATACTGGACATGGATACTATTGAAAAGGATATTCTGTTATTGAGCATAGAAGCATCACTTCACATTGAGCCTTGTTTAAAATTTGGTGACTATGTCAGTTATTTCTTATGCAATATGGTCTGACTGTACATGTTTTTTCAACCATCCTGGGAAATTCCTCACTTTTCTATCATCAGTCTTGACCTCAATAAAACTTCCAGTCTCATCTGTAATCAAATACTATGTGATTGTATGTAATGAGTTTATTTCAATATAGTGCTATACACCTTTTTTCCTATTTTTGTGTATTCTGAAATTATCTTTACCTCTATAGTACATTATTACATTACAATCATTATTAGCTCATAGGGTCTTTAACGCAGTATCTCACAAAATGTTCCTTTGTTAAGCACTCACTTTAACAGGATAGGGCATATGTGGCTTCTCTGCTTTAAATCTATGATATTATTATATAAACTACCTAAAAGCAGATGATGCTTTGCTAATACTTTTTTTTTCACTGTCTAAGTCTACATAATGGCTTGTTTCATAGAGAAGAACACCGGAATAGGCTGGATTTTGTTGCTATAGCTAGCTCAAGTTGTGTCAAACAGTGTCGATCATCTGCCACAGCTAATACTTTTAAATGGCTACAATGTCACATAACTCTGAGTACCATGGACCGAATGAATTATTTATTCTGAGTTGTTTTATGCTTTGGTTATTAATTGAATCACAAAGGTGTACCTTTGCCTAGTGCAAAATGTTTTTCCCAAAAGTTATGTATCAAATTTTTGTAGGTCGAGTTATTTTAAAACGTACTAGTAAAATATTTTTTTAAAATCATATTTGAAATGAATCCTTCTAATAAGTAAAATTTCATCCCTAATTTACTTTCTTTGTAAGATTAGATGTAGTTCATACAGTGTACCTTATTATTATTTCATTTTGTTGTAAACCTTTATTCTGAGGAACTTAAAGAATTTCATATATCTTTCCAACGTCTCTGTAAAATACATACAGTTTGAATGCAGAGAAACTCATGCAGAATGAAGAAAGGTGTCAAGCTTAAAATGATGAAGTTCAGGAAAGAGCTAGAACTGGAAAATGACCTGTTAGTGCTATGCCTTAGTCCATTACCAGCAAATATTATGAATAGAATACTTTGCCATCTCTGTTTGGGTTTTGTTTATTTGTTTCTGAGTTTTTCACTAAGTTATCATTTTTATAATTTATTTCCCAAGGTCAGAATCTTGTATATCCAATTTAGATTTTAAATTCAGTTAGCAAGGATCTAATTATATATTTATCTCTAATCTTGGCTCAATGCAATGAATATTAAATAACAAAATATAGGTTTTTATTTCATTTCTATCTGAAAGATAGAAAGGATGAAAACATCAATTGGCTCGGTTTCAACCGCCAGTATCACCACAGGCCCATGGGAATTCTGTGAATCATAAAATGAATTCACAGTCAGCACTGCTATGCCAAGGGACAAACAAAGGTCTGGTCCCAATAAGCTTTTAAAACTGGTAGATGATTTTATAATTACTGATATAAATTCAAGGAATCATTTATGTACATTTACCAAACATTTGCTAGGAAGAGGAAATGCTCTAAGAGCTTAAGTAGAGTTATATTTTAAATGGATTAAAAATTCATTATTTTAAAAAAAGATTTCATTTAAGCATACATTATTCTATATATAATAATTTAAATGTACAAAACAGAAAATTAAAGGTCAGTGTTTTTGGTGATAATCCTTTGCTTTATACAAATATTCATCACAGAATCTATTTCAAATAGCAAGTTCCCATTACATTTAAATAATTTTTGCTGAACATACAGTTGCATGTATCCAAAACCACTCAGGTAAAAATGTCTAAGTAAAGGAAAACATCTATAAGACTTTGTCAATTCAGAGACTGTAATCAATGGTATAGAATTACTTTGCACCTGACAAGCACTGTACACTCCTGTTTTCCAAAACATTCCTTGCACTTACCCGCATTTACATCCTAGCCCAAACTCTTCCCTTTCCTCACAAATGCTTTGCCCTCACATTACTTTACAACATTCTACCCATCTGAAATGGACTATGATAATGATAGTGTTTGTCCACTCGTTTTGCCCATGTCTCTGCCCTATTTGCATTTTCTGGAAAAGCCCCAGCACCTCTATCCGATCTGGTGAAACTGTCGGTCATGATCCCCTTCCTCCTGTCCCACTCCCCACAGTGATGGACATGTGACATAGCTGGCCGCAGGTAATGGGCAGGTTCCTAAGCAGAGCTAATGGGGCTCTTCACTGGTCACTGGGAAATAGAAAGGCTTGGCTTGTAAGCCCTAATTATGTAAGTTTCTGTCTTCAGCAATTATCTTTGTGCAGAGTTTGAATGAGATAAAGTCAACAAAGAGAAGGGAGCTAAGTCTGACAACCTTATTTTAGTTCCTGGATCAACCTCATCTGAAGTATGACATGCTTACTACAGAAGTTGATAAAATGCCTTTTTATTTCCTCGAGTTTAAATTTGGTTACCTACCACCAACAAAGGACTGGTACACGTTTCTCTGTTTCTGGCCAAAATCTCACTTTCCCCTAAGAAAACTTTCTAGCTCCCTTGGTTAGAATTAACCTCGCCCTCTTCTGACCTTCCATGACACTTGCTTCCTATTACTCAGTGCTTATATTGAAAGATATCATTCATTATTAACCTGTCTCTATGTCAAGCCTGTGAGAGCCTCCAGGACATTTGTCTTTGTGCACTATTTGAGTACCCCACTGTGTCTAATCCAGTGCTGGGCCCACACCTAGTCCCTCAAAAATAGCTTGACAATTTGAATTGAATTGAATCACTACAATTCATATGATCTATGTACTCTGTGGAAGCCATCAATAAAATGTTCTTTGCAATCACTCTATTGGACTCTAAATAACAAGTCTGCAGAGATCAAAAGTGGTTTAAAGAAAGAAATCAAAGCCACCTAATTTGGTTGTTCAAAATATCATTTTAAGTGAATACTTTATAATTTTCTACTTAATTTTATCTAAAAAGACCAACTGTTGTGCTCAGTTGGGCCATTAATGTATTTAGAAAATTTGCTGACAGGCCAAACTTCCCTTCAGTTTATACTTGGGAAATCACTGTTTATTGTTTTCTGTTTGAGGAGCCTGAGGCACTCAGCTTGAGTCACAGGGAGGAATAACCAAACATTCTTAGTTCGATGTGTTGTGGAGACTTCCAACCAAGAACACCTTTAAAATGCACATTGAAAAGACATCTAGGAATAATATTTTTTAATAAACGATGAACATAAAAGTCATTTATGTTTATTGTAGAAAGAGAAAGAAAGGAAGAAAGAGAGAGAGAAAGAAAGGACAATCACATCCAGCTGGCCTGGCTCAGTGGTTGAGTGTCCTCCTATGAACCAGGAAGTCATGGTTTGATTCCTGGTCTGG